GCGTTCAAGACGTTGCTGGATTGAGTTATGCAGAATTGTGCATCCACCCAGACTTCAACCTTCCCGAATGGTTCAAAATTCCAAAGTTTGATACCTTCGGAGGGGTAGGCAACCCCATGGCGCATTTGAGAGCGTACTATGACAAAGCTCGTGGGAGTTTGCAAAGAAGAGGCTCTATTGACGAGGCTTTTCAGCTATAGTCTGTGTAGGGAGGACCTAGAATTGTTTACGTCACACGAAACCAGGCACAGGATAAGTTAGAGCGCGCTAGCTAAAGGCTTCATCGACCGATTTGCGTACAATGTTGAGATAGTACCCTGATTAATATTCTCTAGAAAAATGAAGCAGAAATCGATGGAAAGCTATCGGGAATTTGCCTACAGATAGAGAAAAGAAGCAACAAGGGTGAGGCCTTCAATGACTGAAAAGGAGATTGTAGAAGTGTTTGTGCAGTTACAAGAGGCCGAATACTATGATAGAATCATTTTGTTAATCAGAGCCAAATTTGCCGAGATAGTCAAAATTGGTGAGACTATCGAATACGGTCAAGAGTCGGGGAAGAGAGCCAGAGTATCCGTGTCTCCTGGATCTTCCGGATTGGTGAGGAAGAAGAGAGAGGAAGTTGCCGTTGTTTCTTATGGGGGAAGAAAAACTCCCCGAAACACATCGCGTCCTCAAGATCGCTCCAAGCCTCCACCAAAACCTCACCAAGCCTATCGCCCACAATCCAATCATTCCAGCAACTACAATCCTGCCCCCACCTATCAAGATGCCCATATTTTGTCGTACAAAAATCCACCCCCAAATCTCCAAAATTCCCCCCCCCCATGTATCCAAATTACCCCCAATCTTAACAAATTCAACCCCCTTATCAGAATATCGCTCTCAGCTGTGCTAATGTACAGTCAAGCTACCAACAACCTTCCACCACATATCAAGTACAAGCTCCAGCATATCAAAACCCCCTCCCAAATTACCAAGCTCCAAAGCCAAATTACAAGACAAGCCCCTTCCCTAGAACCCAAGCTCCTCGCCCAAATGTCCGCAATTATAAATAGGTTCCTCTCCCTCAGCAAAGCGGGTATGATCCTTCTTGTCCGATATTTGAAAAAAGGCCTTCGGGGAAATTTACCGCACTGACTAAAAGCCGGACCAAGCTATTCAAAAGACTATCCGCGACCTGATACATCCACCCTGTGGGGCCCAAGCCCGTGGATGTCAACTCTATGTTCTACAAACAGGAGCAGAGATGTGCTTATCATTCCAACAGTGTTGGACTTGACACAGAAGACTGTATCAATCTTAAGCACATGATCCAGGATGTGATTGACCAGGAAGTAGTCTCCCTCCAGCCAGCGGCGCCGAACGTCAGTACAAATCCGTTGCCGAATCATGGGAATGGAAACATTAAAATGATAGAAACAGACGAAGATGAGTGTGAAACCAAGAGGATTACTCCAATTGTGCAAGAAGACTTGGAAAGGGATGTCGCTTCTTTAAGCTTCAAGGAAAAGAGAGAGTTTGTTATTCTGACACCTACAAAGGTTGTTGCATTGGTGTCCTCAAAAACTCTCGCCAAACCCAAGTTTGTCATAGAAACTTCCGTGGCCCAAGGCATGACTAGTTCTAGAATATGCTACACTACTGATGAGCTTGCTCTTGGAGGATAAAAGAAAGACCATGCTAAGAGGCCAATAAGCGAAGCAGAAGAAGAGGAGTTCTGGAAAAGGATGCAAGCGAAAGATTACTCCATTGTCAACCACTTGAAGAAGACTCCGGCTCAGATCTTCGTATGGGCCCTACTGATGAGCTCCCAGTCCCACATGCAGGCTCTTATAAAAACTCTTGATGATACATACGTGCCCTCAGGCACAAGCAGCAATAATGTGGTTGCCATGATTTATCAAGACATTCGAAGGCACCGCATGAACTTCTGTGGCGATGAGTTGCCAGTCGAAGGGAGATCCCACAACAAAGTTCTACACGTCACCTTGATATGCCGTGGAAAGTCCGTCAATCATGTTTTGGTAGATGATGGATCTGGTTTAAATATGTGCCCCTTGTCGACATTGAAACAGCTGAGGTTTGACCTCAGAAAAGTGGATCAAAACCAGGTTAATGTAAGAGCGTTTGATGGTGTGCAAAGAGACACATTAGGGGCGGTCAAGTTGTCCCTTCAAATGGGCCACGCGGAGTTCAATAGGAAATTCCAAGTGTTGGATATGTACAGCAGCTATAACCTTCTTTTGGGAAGGTCGTTCATTCACATGGAAGGAGCCTTCCCCTCCACTCTCCATCAAATGATGAAGCTGGAATGGAACAATGAAGAGCTAGTTGTTCACGGTGAGAGAAGTCACTCATGCAAGCAGGTACCGGTCTTTGATGAGACGCCGCAAGGTGCAGATTTTTTACAAGGTGGATTTTGTAAATGCCACTGATGAGGATTTGTCCCCGCAGACCCCCATGCCAGCAGTTTACAGAATGATCGCCACAGTAATGCTGCAGAATGGGTTCGAGCCAGGTTTCGGATTGGGAAGAGATTCCCAAGGGATTATTGAACCTTTTCCGGTCTTTGCTAAAGGATCCAAATATGGGTTGGGGTACATCCCACAGATGACGACGTGAAGATGTAGAAGAAAAAGGATAAAGAGTTGGCTAAACCAATACCTCATCTGTATCAATTCCTTCCAATCCAGGAGTGCGTCGAGCTTGAATATTGTGGCGAAGGAATCTATGACCTCTTTAAGGAGATCAATGATATTATCGAGGAGGAGGTCGAGCCAGCTGGTATTCGTGATGCTGAACCAGGGGAGATGCTACAAAATTTTACTTCCACACTGATCCTGATGTCGCGAACTTTTCTGTAAAGAGGAGTTATTTTATGCATACTAAAATCGGTCGTTGTCCAGAAGAGGCCCAAGACCCACCATTTCTGCAGTTTTCTTAATTGTTGGAATTTTGAATTTTCATGTGACTTTTGAAAAGGCAACGTGGCCATGTGCCATGACCAAAGTTTCATTTTTGTTTTGAACGAAAGCCTCCTTATCTTGTTTTTAAACTTTGTTTATTTAGTTGCTTGTTATACTTTACTTTCCTAATTTTATTTGTTTATGATTTCAGTAACATAAGTTACAGACCCGCCAATGTCATGTCATGTCATAAGCTTAATGAACAAAATGAGATAGATGACAACAAGGTTGACGACTATGAAGAACAAAGTGGGGAACCAGAGTATGTTGCAGAGGAATTTCGACAACTCGAGAATCAGCAAAAACCGAATATAGAGGAGACGGAAACGGTGAATTTGGGAAATTCAGAATGTGTCAAAGAGGTTAAGATCAGCACCTACCTGAATGGAACTAAGAAGGAGAGCATGGTTCATTTGCTTGCCGAATACAATGATGTGGTTGTTTTTGATGTCGGTGACATGCAGGGGTTGAGTACTGATGTCGTATCTCATAAGCTACCGATCAACCCAGGGTTAAAACTGGTGAAACAAAAGACTCAAAAATTTAAGCCTGAACTTAGTTTGAAGATTAAGGAAGAATTCACTAAGAAAATAGAGTCTCCATTGGTGGAAGTAATGCAATATCCAACCGAGTTGGCCAATGTCGGTACAGTCGCCAAGAAGGATGGGAAAATCAGGATTTATGTTGATTATAGAGATCTCAACAAGGCTAGTCCGAAGGATAATTTTCCATTGACAAATATCCATATTTTGATTGACAACTGTGCAAAACATGAGATGCAGTCATTTTTGGACTGTTATGCGGGTTATCACCAAAATTTGATGGATTAAGAAGACGCGGGAAAAATGGCATTCATTACAGCTTGGGGTTTATATCACTACAGGGTGATGCCGTTCGTCCTCAAGAACGCCGGTGCCACTTACATAAGAGTCATGACGACTATTTTCAACCACATGATTCATAAGGAAATTGAAGTTTACGTGGACGACATCATAATCAAATCCTGCTAGAGTTCAGATCAGTTGACAAACCTGAGAAAATACTTTGAACGTTTGCGTCGGTACAACTTGAAGTTAAATCCCACCAAATGCGATTTTGGAGTCCCAGCTGGGAGGTTGATTGAATTTATAGTCAGCAGAGGAGGTATTGAGCTTGACCCCTCCAAGATTAAAGCAATTCAAGAGTTACCTACGCCAAAAATGAGAAAAGAGGTAATGAGTTTCTTAGGGAGGTTAAACTATATCAGCCGGTTTATAGCACAATTAACAGTGGTGTGTGAGCCTATTTTGAAGTTGTTGAAGAAAGACGCCCCGATTAAATGGACTGAGAAGTTACAAACTGCTTTTGATGCTATCAAGAACTACTTGTCTAACCCACCAGTATTGGTTTCTCCACGAGAGAGGAATTCGTTTGTTGCTGTACTTGTCTGTTTCAGATAGTGCCTTTGGATGTGTACTTGGTCAACACAACGAGACAGGAAAGAATGAAAGGGATATCTACTATATAAGCAACAAGTTTACTCCATAGGAGTCTCGTTACACTTTTCTTGAGAGAACATGCTGTGCTCTGATGTGTCTTGCCCATAAATTGAGACACTATTTGTATTCGTATACTACATATCTCATTTCAAGAATGGATCCATTGAAGTACATTTTCCAAAAAGAGATGCCAATTGGAATGTTAGCTAAATGGCAAATGCTGTTGAGTGAGTTCGATATCGTGTATGTGACTCAGAAGGCAATAAAGGCACAAGCTTTGTCTGATCATCTTGAAGAAAACCCCATGGATGAAGAATACGAACCACTCAAGACTTTTTTTAACGATGAGGAAATATCATTTGTGGGTGAAGATATTTCTGAAACATACCCAGGTTAGCGATTATTCTTTGACAAAGCGGTGAATCACCAAGGTAAAGGTATTGCAGCAGTCTTAGAATCAGAATCTGGTTAAAACTATCCTATGGCAGCTAAACTCTGATTTAATTTCACAAACAACATGGCTGAATACGAAGCTTGTATTTTTGGTTTGAAAATGGCCATCGACATGAATGTCTATGAGTTATTGGTTATTGGAGATTCAGACCTTTTGATTCATCAGGTTAAAGGTTAATGGGCTGTGAAGAACCCAAAAATTATACCTTACGTACAGTATGTGCAAAATTTGTGTAAAAGGTTTCGCAAGATCGAGTTCAGACATACTCCCAGAATACAGAATGAATTAGCTGATGATCTTGCCACTATCTCTTCGATTATCAAACATCCGGATAATGACTACATCAACCCACTGGATATAGAGTTGAAGAAACATCCAGTCCATTGTTCACATGTTGAATCAGAACCAGACGGTCTGCCTTGGTATTTTGATATAAAGAGGTACTTGGAGTCTAGGACATATCCACAAGACGCTACATCTAATCAGAAGAAGTCGATACGTCGTCGGGCTGTTAATTTCTTTCTAAATGGAGAAGTCCCGTATATGAGGACTCTTGATTTGGGTCTACTAAGATGTGTAGACGCTGCTCAAGCTGTGAGGCTTAAGGAACAGATACATGCTGCAGTTCGCGGCACCCAAATGAACGGGCATACTTTGGCGAGAAAGATTCTTTGAGCCGGTTATTTCTGGATGACTATGGAGAATGATTGTTATAAATTCGTGCAAATATGCCACAAATGTCAAGTGCACGGCTATTTTATACGGGTGCCAATCACGAACTTAATGCTATGAGTTCACATATGCCATTGGTAGCTTGGGGAATGGATGTCATCAGTCCTATAGGGCCGTCCACTTCCAATGGACACGGATTCATTTTGGTTGCCATTGATTATTTCACGAAGTGGGTGGAAGCAGCCTCTTACAAGTCGGTAATCAAGAAAGTGGTGGCTGATTTTGTCCGCAACAATCTGATATGCAGATTTGGAGTTCCAGAATCCATCATTACTGATAACGGTGCAAATATCAACAGTCATTTGATGAAAGAGATATGTGAACAATTTAAGATTATTGATCGAAAGTCAATTGCTTATCACCCCCAAATGAACAGAGATGTAGAGGCCGCCAACAAAAATATCAAAAATATCTTGAGGAAATGACTGACAAACATCGAGGTTGGCATGAAATGTTGCCATACTGTTTACTAGGTTATCGAACGACGGTTAGAACATCTGCTATTGCCCACTCCATACTCGCTAGTGTAAAGAACAGAGGCAGTCATACCTGTTGAAGTCAAGATACCGTCATTGAGGATCATCCAAGAAGCTGAATTAAGTAACGCTAAGTGGGTTAACAAACGCATCGATCAACTGACTTTGATTGATGAAAAGAGAATGATTGTTGTTTTCCATGGCCAGTTGTATAGACAGAGAATGAATCGCACCTTTTACAAAAAAGTAAGAGCCAGAGACATTGAAGTTCGTCAGTTGGTTCTTAAGAGTATTTTTCCTCATCAAGACGAGTACAAACGAAAGTTCGCACCAAATTGGCAGGGTCCTTACATTGTTCGTAAAGTACTTTCTGGAGGTGCTTTGGTCTTGTCAGAGATGGATGGCTCTGTATGGCCCAAACATATCAACTCAGATGCTGTGAAGAGATACTATGTGTGAAGTTTCATTTTGCATTTTGTATCATTTTCTTGTAATCGTTCTGTTTGCTTGTATTTGTTCCATTTGAATCCTTATCCCTCTTGTAATGAACTACGTCTGACCTGAATTCTCGAGAACGAGATACGTAGGCGGCCTATATCGGCCTCAGTTGGTTTCTTTGTAAATTTTATTCTTGTTAACCTTTAAGGGAAACTACGTTCGACCTAATTCCTGCCTCAACGGGTTACGTAGGCTCCACAAGGGTTCGGTTAATTCTCCCATAAGTTCTATTCCTCTTTGCAATAGAACGGGGACAAAATTATCGGGATGGACTCAAAAATTCTCCAGAAGAAGCCTTCTATTCAGCAAGCCAAACTAAAGATATTTTGAGATTTGTGTTTGGGATAGAATTTTTGAGAAGAGCTCAAAAATCCCGCGATCTGTTCACTTAATGAAAAAAGATAAGCAAGACAGTAAACTGGGACAGAAATTTTGAGGATCGCCTCAAAATTTTGTTATGAGTCTTCCGTACATGTCCGGAGTGACCCTGAAACCCATAGCGAATTATTAGATAGACCTTTCGAGTGTCAGATTCAAAGAAGCTTGTTAAGCCTGATATGACATGACTTGGCAGTGACTTTTTCAAGAGATTTTTTCTTATTTCTCCAAAATTTTCCCTTTTATGTTTCATTTTCTTTGTCATAAAATATTTTGTTTTATCTATCAAGAATTGGGAAATCGGGAATTCAACCGAAGATATCAAGACAAGGAGCAAACAACTGAAGGAATCGACACAGATCAGTATGTGTAAAAACTAACAATTTTTCTGTGGATGCAGGTTTATAGCTTTACTTTGAAATCGGCCAAATTTTCCCGACGAATGAATATGGAGAGCTCCCAAATAGGAGAAAACTATCCCCAAACCCAATAATTTTACTGAGAGCAGGAGGCAGCTCATATCTTTGGTGTCAAGATACATGGAAATGTGGTTTGTTTATTTCAAGCAATTTCCAACAATATGAAATTTACAAAGAGTGTCTAGCCAAATTCAAAGCTGAATCAAATCAGGAACCTCAACGAAGGTTTCACGATTTCAGTAAAGGACTCCATTTGCATTACATTATCAAAGCAAGATAATTATTGTCAATCAAGACAATGCATTACCCACGAAGTGATAGTTATTTTATTATTAGTTTATTATCGATCAAGTTGATATACTATGTGGAGGTAATATGCCTTTATAATCAACACAAACGATATAGATATTCATGCATTACGAGTTAAAAATCATGCATTGTGGAAATCCATGCATCACGGAGAATCATGCATTGCGCAAAGTCATGCATCGCGGAAGTCATGCACTGCTTAAAATCATGCATTGCGGGAATCATGCATAGCGAGAAATCATGCATCGTGGGAAGTCATGCATCACAGAAATCATGCATTGCGGAAAGTCATGCAGTGCGGAAGATCATGCATCGTGAGTTTTGAATTTATACATCACGAGATTTCATGCCTCGTTAAATTCATATATCACGACAAGACTTTATACCTCGCTGGAATTTATGCATCACGAGAAGATTTTATGCCTCGTCAAATTTATACGTCGTGAGAAGACTCCATAGCTCGGTGGATTTTATGCATCACGAGACGAAGCCATGCCTCGTTAAAAATCATGCATCGCAGAAAAATCATGCATCGCGGAAAATCATTCATCAAGAGTCAACAATTATGAGCGACGAGAAGATTTCATGACTCATCAAAATTTATACATAGCGCGAAGATTTCATACCTGACTGAAATTTAGACATCTCGAGAGGAGGTCATACCTCGCCGAAATTTATGCATCACGAGAAGAATCCATGCTTCGTTGAAATTTGCACATCACGAGAAGATTTCATGACTCGTTGAAAGTTATGCATTGCTAGAAGATTTCATACCTCGCATGAATTTACGTATCGCGAGAAGATATTCATGCCCCGCAAGAGGACACACAGGGATAAAGAAAGGGAAATCGTGTATCACAAGAGAAAGATTTATCCATCGGTCTCAACTGCATTCTTTTATTTTGATAAAAGTAAACATCAAGAAGAGCATCGAAGATGACGAACAAAGAAATTTCAATATCGCATCAACATTTATTTACTTATTTTGACCTCAAGTATAGAGTACATTATAGATTATATTGCGCAACACAAGCCATAAACTTTATTTGTTGTACGTCAGACCGATCAAGTCGACGTCGAATATGGAGGAGAACAAGAAAGTGTCCACATGGTAAAAGACACTGTCTCCCATTGTAATTGCATTTTTTAAGCTGACGAGTTTTATCTCAGTCTTTGTCGAGAGCATCCAAAAGGATGAATTCTCCAAAAACCAGGGGTGCGGACGACATCTAAAAGGATGCAGCACAACGTGGAACTTTTTCTTAGCAGCGAACTGGGATAGAGTCCAAAAAGGAATGTCAAACTCTTAGGATGCGAGTAGAGGAGCGACTTCAACAACAATTGAACCACCCCTATCAAAGCATGTGGGTTTTTCTCTAGTTCTGTCAGTTTAAGTTTCGAATCCGGATGATTCGATTTATCCGAAGCAAGTTTCCAATCTGAGTGACAAGCCTCCTTTTCATACTCGTTTAATTTGTCACTTGTCCAAAACCGAAGGTTATCTAGAATAATGAATTTTCTTTTCCGCTGATTAAGTCGAACTACACACAGCCTTATTATGAAGGTTTAAGGATATATAGGCAAATTCAATGTTGAAAACTCGGTTGTAATCCAACATTCACTTTAGAATTTTATTCTCGAGTATTTCGATACCTTCATAATTCGGTACCTAGGCGGCTTTCGGATTCTTTCAAAATCATGCGTTAAATCAAGCTCATCGAACTACAAGTAGCCTTAATTCTCCTATAGCCTGAGATATATAGGAAACCCGTTTCAAGAGTTCGGCCATAATTCTTAAACCCCTCGCCAATTCCTTCCTTAAACAAATGAATGGGATTGGTAAAAATTTGTTTGGTCAATTTCATTTTCCTCGAATTGCTTGCATCAACCCAAGTAAAATGAGGGACCGTTGTTGACAACCAATTTTGACCCGCATCGGTATATATTAATTCTCGAGCTTTGCAAGTCTTCCAAACAATTTAAATTAAATAGTTTTATAAATTTTGCAAAAACAATAATATAATGCATGAATTTTATGTTACTTCGGATACTTTTGTCGTGACTTTTAGATAATACATATATTTTACATAGTTTTGTATATAATTAGTATATTTTAGGACTATTCAAAAACCCTTCCAAAAAATTTACAATTTTAGTAAGCATTCTATCTTAGTTTAAATTATGATTATGTTTTGAATAGCTATTTTATAACTATATTACTAAAATAAAAAAGCTCGTTGATTAATTAATACAAACTCGTTTTATTTAAGGTTTAGTCAAATACATCATTTGAATTGGTTATTTGTTAAATTAACCCAATTCCCTTCCCCATTTTAATTAATTCCATTCCATGCCCATTTCAGTCTTTACCTACCCAGCACACTTCAACCATTTTTATTCCCAGGCGGCCCAAATTAATTCATCCACTCCCAATTTGAGCCCACCTTATTCCTCAATCCCTAGGCCCAACTCCCTTAAAGTAAACCAACCCGACTCCCCGACCCGACTCCCCCTTCCTTCTTCCCTTTTTCCATCCACCAAAATTCCCAGAGCTGAACCCCCACACCCAGACGCCAAATTCCAAAAAAGAACAAAATAATTCCCAAAATTCCCCCTTCTTCCCCCCTCAATCTCCACGCGACCCCAGAAGCCACGCGTTTCTCGTCTCCCTTCCCTCCTCTCTCTAGCGCGAGGAGGAACAAGGCAGTGCAATAGTCTCCTGCTGCCCTGCCCTCGCTTGTACAGCCTTTGCAAAGCAAAAGACGATGCGACTTCATCCATGTCCTCGTGAGATCGAGCCACGTCGCCTTACATGGACAATGGATTAATCTCGTCCCTCCAGCTCACCTCCCAACCGTTAGGAATTTGGCATCAAAATTGGATATTCTTCAGCTTTGGATAAGATTTTGGAAATTCAATTTCGAAATGGGCCTGAATCATCACTCCATCCTTTCCCTCGAGGAACCCTAATTTTCCTCTATATAAACCCCCCATCTCCATTTGGAAAAAGGGTTGGATGATTGAGAGGTTTGAAATTTTGGGTGGGGAAAAATCTTGGAATTTTTTTTTGACTGTTCTTATTTTTGGAGCTATTCTTACCTTTGTAGCATTCGAGTTACGAGAAAACAGACGTAGCCAATGAAGATAGGAGTCACATTGATTACGTATTGAGATTTTAGGGAAGAGACTTTCAATGATTGAAAGCTTCCTGTGTTATTTTCGCCATCCGCTTGTTAGTTCGAGCTGTGAAGTTCGTTACTCTCTCTCGTTCCTGCTTGTTTTCCTGTTTCGCTGCTTCGAAGAAGGTATATTTTCCACTTTTTATCAATTTTCTTTATGGAGTTTGAATAGTTGTTCGTGTTGCTGTGAATATAAGACGTTATACCTCGTTTGTTTGCTTAAATCCAAAATGTGTCCTGCGTTATGGTTCTGTTTTTTGTTGGTTCTTTTTATGTTGCTCTTTTTTTTATGAATTTGTCATGGCATAGATCTTATTGAATTAGTCTTAACACGTTCTGTTTCAAAGAGAAGTTGACGGGTAGCATCATTTATTATCCGTGCTATCTTCGAGTTGTTGAACAACAAGGATGTTAGTTTGTTTTCTCCATTTGAGCTTTATCCCCTGAATGTGTTTCTATTTTGATTCTTTGTCCTCGTTCGAGTACTCTTTGTTAGGAAGTCTAAAATGAAATATTTAGTTGTTTATTCGATTTCTATGCCTTCATATCCTATGTATTTTTGAACATTATGGTTAGTATTTGTAAGCCTTCCTTGTGTGTATTGAAGATTTTAACTTGATCGATGCTTATTATATCCAATGAGTCAATTTGTGATATATTTCTTCGAAACTATTTA